GCTGAGCTCTGGTGTGTTTGCTCCTCGTCTCTGCCCTTCTGGGTGACCTTGGCTGTCTGTCCCTCCCAGGAGCAGGGCTGGCAGTGGTGGCAGGAGTGTCACCTGGGTGCCAGCAGCCTGCAGCAGGGCCCTGCCAGCCTCGGGCCAGCCCTGCTGCCCCAGGGATGCTCCTGCTGCCCCAGGGATGCTCCTGCTCTCCCAGGGATGCTCCTGCTCTCCCAGGGGTGTTCCTGCTCTCCCAGGGGTGTTCCTGCTCTCCCAGGGATGCTCCTGCTGCCCCAGGGATGGTCCTGCTGCCCCAGGGATGTTCCTGCTGCCCCAGGGATGTTCCTGCTGCCCCAGCGATGTTCCTGCTCTCCCAGGGATGCTCCTGCTACCCCAGGGATGTTCCTGCTGCCCCAGGGATGTTCCTGCTGCCCCAGGGGTGTTCCTGTTGCCTCAGGGATGCCCCAGCCCTGCTCCCTCAGGGCTCTGCCCCAGGATGGGAGGGATCTGTCCTGAGAGCAGAGCCTGGGGACGCTGCCATGCCCCAGGCTGGGCACAGGAATGTGTGAGGAGCCTGCTGAGAACATCCCCAGGGTCAGGCGGGGAGGGGACAGGGTGACTCTGCTTCTCCCCAGCCCCCCCGGGCCCCGGCTGAGCCCCAAATCCCCAGATCCCCAAATCCGGCCGCGGCTGCCCCGGGGCAGGGCTCGGTCCGGCCGGGATGTGGCGGCTGCAGCAGCAGCCCGGCACATGTGACGTGGCTGCCACTGTCACCTGCCCGGGAGGGAGCCGGGCTCGGCCGGAGCAGCGGCGCCTCCCTGTCCCCATCGCTGTCCCCATCCCTGTCGCTGTCCTCGTCCCTGACGCTGTGCTCAACCCCATCCCTGTCCCTGTTCCCCATCCCTGTCCCCATCCCTGTCGCTGTCCTCGTCCCTGACGCTGTGCTCAACCCCATCCCTGTCCCTGTTCCCCATCCCTGTCCCCATCCCTGTCGCTGTCCTCGTCCCTGACGCTGTGCTCAACCCCATCCCTGTCCCTGTTCCCCATCCCTGTCCCCATCCCTGTCGCTGTCCTCGTCCCTGACGCTGTGCTCAACCCCATCCCTGTCCCTGTTCCCCATCCCTGTCCCCATCCCTGTCGCTGTCCTCGTCCCTGTCCCCATACCTGTTCTCATCCCTGTCTCTGTCGCTGTCCCCATCCCCGTCCCCATCCCCATCTCTCTCCTCTCCCTGTTCCCGTCCCCATCCCCACCCCTGTCCCCCATCCTGTCCCCATCGCTGTCCCCATCCCTGTCCCCATCGCTGTCCCTATCCCTGTCCCCGTCCCCATCGCTGTCCCCACACCCGTCCCTGTCCTTGTGCCCATCCCTGTCGCTGTCGCTGTCGCCGTGTCCAGCCCCCCGCGCCTTTCCCCGCCGCGCTGTGGCTGCAGCAGCGCCGCTCACCCAAGGTCACCGCAGGGGACAATAGCGCTGGGGACAGCCCGGCAGCGACAGAGCCCGGAGCCTCCCCTGTGCCACAGCGGGCACACACGCCGACCTGTCTGTCTGTCTGTCTGTCACCCGAGCCGGGTGGCAGCAGAGCCACCGGGAGCTGCTTCGGGAGCTGCCGGCCCGGCTGGGCTGGGATTTCTGTCCCTGCCACTTCTGTCTGTCCCTGCCATCTCTGTCTGTCCCTGCCACTTCTGTCTGTCCCTGCCACTTCTGTCTGTCCCTGCCACTTCTGTCTGTCCCTGCCACTTCTGTCCCTGCCATGTCTGTCCCTGCCATCTCTGTCCCCTGTGGAAGCTCCAGCACAGCCAGGGTGGGCACAGCTCGGGATATTTTGGGGTCCCCTTAAAGGTCGGCACAGCTCGGGGAATTTTGGGATCCCCTTAAGGGTGGCTCGGGGAATTTTGGGATCCCCCGAGGGTGGGCACAGCTGAGGACAGGAGGTGGCACAGGGCCAGCCTGGCAGCAGCTGGAGCTGCCCAGGAATTGCCCTCAGGAATTATTTGATTCGTCCTTCTCTTGTGAATGATCACAGGCAGAGCCTGGGCTTGGCTGGTGAGGGGCACGTGTGGCACCTCTGTCACGGGGATTTGGGGACAGTGGGAGACGTGTGGTGGGATTTGGGGACAGTGGGAGATGTGTGCAGGGATTTGGGAACAGTGGGAGATGGGTACAGGGATTTGGGGACAGTGGGAGCTGTGTGCAGGGATTTGGGGACAGAGGGACACGGGAGGTGCTTGCCTGTGCTCATGGGACCCCTCCCAATCCTTTGGGGTTCCCCGTCCCTCCTGCAGCCCCTCCCCGGATTTCCCAGTGCCAGGAGAGGGACAATCCCCGTTCCCAGCCGGGGGAGCAGGGCACCCTCAGCCCTGCTGCCACCAGAGCTGCCACCTCCCGTCCCTCCCTTTCCCGGTGACAATGGGGGCTGCGGGGGCTGGTGGCCACCGCGGGGCCCGTGCCAGGCCCGTGCCAGCCCCGTGCCAGCCGAGGTGGCACCGGTGGCCCCGTTAGGGCACGGCTGAGGTCGAGGCTGTCTGGGGAAGGCTCTCGGAGCTTTGTTTGTGTCAATATTTGGACTTTTCTCAGCCGTGATTATGGAGCAACCTGCGCCTCATGAATATTCAGAGCATCAGAGCCTGCCGGGCTCTGCCAGGGGAGGGGACAGGGACGGGGACACGGGGACAGGGGACACTGGGACAGCCTGGACTGGGGGCACTGGGGGTGCCAGGGCTGTGCTGGTGGAGGGCAGTGGGGCTGGGCATCACCTGCATGGGGGTGTGGTCACTCCAGTGCCACCAGTGCCATCTGGGCAGGGACAGTGCCACCAGTGCCACCTGGGGCAGGGACAGTGCCACCAGTGCCACCTGGGCAGGGACAGTGCCACCTGGGCAGGGACAGTGCCACCTGGGGCAGGGCAGTGTCACCTGTGCCCATGCTGGGCAGGGACAGTGCCACCAGTGCCACCTGGGGCAGGGACAGTGCCACCTGTGCCACCTGGGGCAGGGACAGTGCCACCAGTGCCCATACTGGTATCATCTCCCCACACTTTAAAGGATTTAGACTCTGAGTTTAGGATGAAATATGGCTTGAGGTTTTCTGATTTATTTCTTGCTTGCTTTCTTGGATTTTGGGTTGTTTGGGGGTTTGTTTTTTTTGTTGTTTTTTTTTTTTTTTGAGATTTTGGGGATTTTTTTCGGGGGCTTTTTTGTTTTTGTTTGTTTGTTGGGGGTTTTGTTTGCTTGTTTGTTTCTTATTTATTTCTAAATGTATCTCACAAATTGTAGCCAATAATTATATTACAGCCATTATAGCCAGTAAGGATAAAAGGCCTAGACTCAGGGATTTTTGTGCTTTCCCTCCTTTTTTTTACTTTCCTCTGCTGCCAGCAGCTCAAAAAGCCAGGGCAGCTCTTCTGCTGCTGGGAGAGTGGGGGGTAAAACCAAACTAAGAATTCTCCCTGATTTTCCCCTTTTGCCCCTGTTTATGCCCAGGCCCCACGTGCACTATATGATCCTATACATTGTGCTTTCCCTCCTTTTTTATACTTTCCTCTCTGCCGCCAGCAGCTCAAAAAGCCAGGGCAGCTCTTCTGCTGCTGGGAGAGTGGGGGGTAAAACCAAACTAAGAATTCTCCCTGATTTTCCCCTTTTGCCCCTGTTTATGCCCAGGCCCCACGTGCACTATATGATCCTATACATTGTGCTTTCCCTCCTTTTTTATACTTTCCTCTCTGCCGCCAGCAGCTCAAAAAGCCAGGGCAGCTCTTCTGCTGCTGGGAGAGTGGGGGGAAAAACCAAACTAAGAATTCTCACTGATTTTCCCCTTTTCCCCCTGTTTATGCCCAGGCACCACGTGCACTATATGATCCCATACATTGTGCTTTCTCTCCTTTTTCATGTTTTCCTCTGCTGCCAGCAGCTCAAAGAGCCAGGGCAGCTCTTCTGCTGCTGGGAGAGTGGGGGGCAAAACCAAACTAAGAATTCTCACTGATTTTTGCCATTTTCCCCCCTTTTTGGCCAGGCACCACGTGCACTACTTGTGCTTTCTCTCCTTTTTCATGTTTTCCCCTGCCGCAAGCAGCTACAAGAGCCAGGGCAGCTCTTCTGCTGCTGGGAGAGTGGGGGGCAAAACCAAACTAAGAATTCTCACTGATTTTTGCCATTTTCCCCCCTTTTTGGCCAGGCACCACGTGCACTACTTGTGCTTTCTCTCCTTTTTCATGTTTTCCCCTGCCGCAAGCAGCTACAAGAGCCAGGGCAGCTCTTCTGCTGCTGGGAGAGTGGGGGGCAAAACCAAACTAAGAATTCTCACTGATTTTTGCCATTTTCCCCCCTTTTTGGCCAGGCACCACGTGCACTACTTGTGCTTTCTCTCCTTTTTCATGTTTTCCCCTGCCGCAAGCAGCTACAAGAGCCAGGGCAGCTCTTCTGCTGCTGGGAGAGTGGGGGGCAAAACCAAACTAAGAATTCTCACTGATTTTTGCCATTTTCCCCCCTTTTTGGCCAGGCACCACGTGCACTACTTGTGCTTTCTCTCCTTTTTCATGTTTTCCTCGGCTGCCAGCAGCTCAAAGAGCCAGGGCAGCTCTTCTGCTGTTGGGGATGGTGGGGAAAAAAAAAACAAACTAAGAATTCTCACTGATTTTCGCCATTTTCCCCCCTTTTTGGCCAGGCACCACGTGCACTATATGATCCCATACATTGTGCTTTCTCTCCTTTTTTATACTTTCCTCTGCTACCAACAGCTCAAAAAGCCAGGGCAGCCCTTCTACTGCTGGGGATGGTGGGGATAAAAAACCAAACCAAGAATTCTCACTGATTTTTCCCGTGACCCCCCATTTTTGGCCAGGCACCACGTGCACTATATGATCCCATACATTGTGCTTTCTGTCCTTTTTTATACTTTCCTCTGCTGCCAGCAGCTCAAAGAGCCAGGGCAGCTCTTCTGCTGTTGGGGATGGTGGGGAAAAAAAAAACAAAATAAGAATTCTCACTGATTTTCGCCATTTTCCCCCCTTTTTGGCCAGGCACCACGTGCACTACGTGATCCCCTACGACGGGGACCAGTCGGTGGTGGACTCCTCGGAGAATTACTTTGTGACCGACAATGTGACCAAGCAGGAGATCGACCTGATGCTGGGGCTGCTGCTGGGCTTCTGCATCAGCTGGTTCCTGGTGTGGATGGACGGCGTGCTGCACTACGCCGTGCGCGCCTGGCGCGCCAGCCGCCGCTACGGTACGCTGGCCTTCGTCCTCCTCTTCGTCGCCTTCAGCTTCCTCCTCCTCGTCTGCCTCATCTTCTTCTTCATAGTCTTCGTCTTCCTCGTCCTCGTCTTCCTCATCTTTGTCTTCATAGTCTTCATCATCTTCTCATCTTCTCATCTTCATAACCTTCCTGGTCTTCATCATCCTCTTCATCTTCATCTTTATCTTCATCTTCCTCTTCATCTTCATCTTCATCTTCCTCGTCCTTGTCTTCCTCATCTTCTTCTTCATCGTCTTCTCATCTTCGCATCTTCATCGTCTTCCTGGTCTTCATCATCCTCATCATCTTCATCTTCATCTTCATCTTCATCTTCCTCGTTTTCATCTTCCTCATCTTCAGCTTTCTCATCTTCATTGTCTTCTCATCTTCATCATCTTCATCTTCCTCATCCTCATCTTCCTCATCTTCTCCTTCATCGTCTTCTCATCTTCGCATCTTCATCATCTTCTTGGTCTTCATCATCCTCGTCATCTTCATCTTCATCTTCTTCATCTTCATCTTCCTCATCTTCATTGTCTTCTCATCTTCATCTTCCTCATCATCTTCATCTTCCTCATCCTCATCTTCATTGTCTTCTCATCTTCGCATCTTCATCATCTTCCTGGTCTTCATCATCTTCATCTTCATCTCCATCTTTGTCTTCATCTTCATCTACCTTGTCTTCATCATCCTCATGTTTATCTTCCTCATCTTCATTGTCTTCTCATCTTCTCACATTCATCTTCCTCATCATCCTCATCTTCATCTTCCTCATCCTTGTCTTCCTCATCTTCTTCTTCATCGTCTTCTCATCTTCACATCTTTATCATCTTCCTGGTCTTCATCGTCCTAATCATATTCACCTTCATCTTCATCATCTTCTTATCTTCTCATCTTCCTCATCTTCTCCTCTTCCTCCTCCTCCTCATCTTCTCATCTTTTTCCTCATCTCCTCTTCCTCCTCATCCTCCTGGGGACAGAGAATCCTGGGGATGGACACACAGCCCTAGGGGACAGAAAAACAGAGCCTTGGGGACACCGAGCCCTGGGGACAGACACACAGTCCTGGTGACACCGAGCCCTGGTGACACCGAGACCTGGGGACAGACACACAGCCCTGGTGACACAGCCCTGGTGACACTGAGCCCTGGTGACACCAAGGCCTGGTGACACAGCCCTGGTGACACCGAGACCTGGGGACAGACACACAGCCATGGTGACACAGCCCTGGTGACACCGAGACCTGGGGACAGACACACAGCCATGGTGACACAGCCCTGGTGTCACCAAGCCCTGGTGACATAGCCATGGTGACACCGAGCCCTGGTGACAGACACACAGCCCTGGTGACAGACACACACCCCTGGTGACACCAAGCCCTGGGGACAGACACACAGCCCTGGTGACACCGAGCCCTGGTGACACTGAGCCCTGGTGACACACAGCCCTGGTGACACAGCCCTGGTGACACCGAGCCCTGGTGACACCAAGCCCTGGGGACAGACACACAGCCTTGGTGACACCGAGCCCTGGTGACACTGAGCCCTGGTGACACAGCCATGATGACACCGAGCCCTGGTGGCACACAGCCCTGTGTCCCCGAGCCCTGGTGACACCGAGCCCTGGTGGCACCGAGCCCTGGTGACACCGAGCCCCTGGTGACACCGAGCCCTGGTGACACAGCCCTGGTGACACTGAGCCCTGGTGACACAGCCCTGGTGACACCGAGCCCCTGGTGACACCGAGCCCTGGTGACACAGCCCTGGTGACACAGCCCTGGTGACACCGAGCCCTGGTGACACAGCCCTGGTGACACCGAGCCCTGACCCGTGTCCCCGTTCCCCGCAGACTCCTCGTGGTCGTGGATCCCGCGCTTCTGTAAGCTGAAGGAGCTGCGCAAGCGTCACCCGCGGCAGTACGAGGAGCCCACGGGCAACATGGTGCACATCAAACAGAAGCTGTACCACAACGGGCACCCCAGCCCCCGGCACCTCTGAGGGACCCAGCCGGCTTTTAACCACACACAGGACTCCTCTTCCTCCCGGGAGCTGCCTCTGGATTGTCCCCAAGCCAGCCGAGGACACGGATTTCTTTTCGGGATGTCCGCGGGTGGACGCGCCACCATGCACAACTAAGCCGGTCCTGGGGCTTTGCACTGTGTTCCACGTTTTATTGTCAGACTCGTGTATATATGTAAAAAAAAAAAAACAAGACAAACAGGAAAAAAAAAGAGAGAAAAAAGAGATTTGCATTATAATTTCAACCCCCACCCCGTTTTCCTGGCTGTCCTGCGCATCCTGCTGGGAATGCTGGTCGAGGGATGGAGGTGGGACAGCGGCAAGAAGATGCAGAGTGTCTCCTCCAGGAGCTCCAGCCCCCCAAAATTTCTTTGCCCCTCCCGTGGCTGAAGGGCCTGGCTGGTCACAGGTTTGGATGGGGGGAAGGCACGGTGTCCCATTTTTGGGTTTTTTTTTTTGTTTTTGGTTTTTCACGTCCCGGGGCGTTGCTGCGGGGGAAGGAAGGGCTGGGAATGCGCCAGGGGTTTGTTGTTTGCGTTGCTGCCACTGAAACCTGCCTTAAGCAACCCCACCTCGGAGCCAGGGGACAGGGGCTGCTGCTGCTGCTGCTTTGGTGGCACCTTGGGTGGTGGCACCTTGGGTGGCACCTTGGGTGGTGGCAGGGCTGCTGTCTGTCACTAGAGGAGGGTGGGATGTGTCGGGTCTGATTCATCAACACCCCCCAGCCCTTGCCTGGGAGGAAAGGAGCTGCTCTGGCCCTCTTCCTGCAGGGTGAGCCTGGTTAAAACACCCCGAAAACCTGGTGAAAACACCCCAAAACCCCAAAGAGCAGAACAAAGGGGGCCCTGAGCAGGGTGAGCCTGGTCAAAACACCCCAAAGTCTGGTTAAAACACCCCAAAACCCAGCACAGAGGGAGCCCTGATCAGGGTGAGCCTGGTGAAAACACCCCAAAACCCCAAGAACAGCACAGAGAGGCCCCTGAGCAGGGTGAGCCTGGTTAAAACACCATGAAAGTCTGGCTAAAACACCCCAAAACCCCAAAGAACAGCACAGAGAGGCCCCTGAGCAGGGTGAGCCTGGTTAAAACACCCAAAAACCCCAAAGGGCAGCAAGAGGAGGTCCTGAGAAGCCTCTTCTTGTAGGGTGAGCCTGGTTAAACACCCCAAAAGCCTGGTGAAAACACCCCAAACCCCAAAACCCAGCACAGAGGGAGCCCTGAGCAGGGTGAGCCTGGTTAAAACACCCAAAAACCCCAAAGGGCAGCAAGAGGAGGTCCTGAGAAGCCTCTTCTTGTAGGGTGAGCCTGGTTAAACACCCCAAAAGCCTGCTGAAAACACCCCAAACCCCAAACCCCAGCACAGAGAGGCCCTGAGCAAGATGAACCTGGTTAAAACACCCCAAAAACCTGGTTAAAACACCCCCAAAACCCCAAAACCCAGCACAGAGGGAGCCCTGAGCAGGGTGAGCCTGGTTAAAACACCCAAAAAACCTGTTTAAAGCACCCCAAAACCCCAAAACCCAGCACAGAGGGGGCCCTGAGCAGCCTCACTCCTGCTGCACCCCCTTCTTGTGGGGCAGACACCAAGCCCAAATTCCTCCCCAAACGTCCCCAAAGTTGAGTTAATCCATGAGGAAGCTCCAAACGTGCTGCTGCTGGGGTGGGTTTTGGGGTGAGGATGGGGCCGAGGCTCCGAGGGCAGTGTCCCCACCCCAAAATCTCCTTTAGCAGGGGCTGTGGGGTGGCTGCTGCCTGGGCTGGGCTGGGCAGAGAGGATTTGTGAGCAGGGATAAAAAGGGAAATTCCACCCCCAGGAATCTGAACCCTCATCATTTCCCCTCCTTTCATCGTTTTGTGTCCTGTGGGTTGGTGCAGAAATGGGGAAAACATCCAGAACTAAAGGATTGCCAGAAAAATCTCTTTTTTTTTTTCTTGACACTCTCAGTGGCCTCCTGCTGTTTGATGGCAGGGAAAGGACACCACAACTCCTGCTCGCCCCTCCCTGCTCCAGTTTCTGTGTTTTGGGGTCATTTTTAAAATTCCCTATGCCCAGTTCAGTTAATTACAAGCCCCAGAACTGCCCAAATATTCCCATTTTTCTGCCATACCCACTTTTGTTATTCCCTAGTGCCTCTTGTCTTGGAGCCCCAGGTTTTTTTCTGGACCTGAATAATTTCCTGGTCCATATTTCTGTCTGTCTGTCTGTCATTCCTGGCTGTGATGTCCAAAATTCCTTAGGATCCAAGGAATGACTTTTCCTAGAGCAGTTATCAACAAGTGGGGACAACATTTTGTAGGGGAGAAAATTCCAATAGGAAAAGGACAAATATTGAGTCCCTGGAACTGTTATGTGAAAAAAGGGAGAAAAAAAAAGCGCTTTAAATCAATTTTTCCACTGACTAAACTCAGACTGAATGTAAAGCCTGGCTCTGCCCTGCTCCAGCAGCTGAGCTTGGTTGAAATATTAAAAATTAAGCAGTTTGAAATATTAAAAATTAAGCAGTTGGAAAGGGTGAAGTGGTGGCTCACACCTGTTAAGTTTGATCTGGTTGATCCATGGCAAAATTTCATAAAAAATTGAGGCTCTGGAAGAGGAGAAAAAAATTCTATATAATAAAAATGTTCCTGTTGTATAAAAAGAGATTTTTTTAAAAAATCTGCTGGGTCTGGAGCTCTCACCTTTTGAACCTTTCTCTTGCTCAAACTTAGGCAAAAAAAACCCAAAAAACAAACAAACAAAAAAAAAAAACAAAAAAAAACAAAAAAACAAAAAAACCCCCAAAAAACAAAACCAAAAAAATCCCAAAATAAGAAATATTCTCAGTGCAATTAAATGTACTGGGAATAATTCACTTTAATCCAGGGAAACCAGTCAGGTTTTGTGGAGCACACACAAAACCAGTGGGATTAATCCTGGAGAATGATCATTTTTTATTAATGAGGGCCAAAATTCCTTCCTGTGCAGGGAGAGAATCCTGACCCAACAGATCTGCACACCAAAAATACCCCAAAAACCCCCAAAATAGGAGAGTTTTCCCCAAAAGCCACAGGTCTGCCCTGCCTCCTCTTTGGGGAGCCAGGTGCCAAGACCCCAGAGAAGCAGAAGGTGAAGGAGGAAGCTGAGTTTGGGATGTTAGAGCTGAGTTTTGGGGTGTTAGACCTGGTTTTGGGATGTTGGAGCTACGTTTTGGGATGTTAGAGCTGAGTTTTGGGGTATTAGATCTGTTTTTGGGGTGTTAGAGCTGAGTTTTGGGGTCTTAGAGCCGAGTTTTGGGACATAACATTTGGCTTTCGGGTGTTAGAGCTGAGTTTTGGAGTGTTAGATCTGGTTTTGGGGTGTTAGATCTGGTTTTGAAATGTTGCAGCTGGTTTTTGGGGAGTTACAGCTGGTTTCAGATCTGGGTTTAGGGTTTCAGGTCCGGGGCTCAGATTTGGGTTTTAGGGTTTCAGGTCTGGGTTTCAGGGTTTCAGTGGGATGGAAAGCAGGGAATTGGATTGTCTGTGGTGTTAGATCTGGTTTTGGGGTGTTAGAGCAGGTTTTGGGGTGTTAGAGCTGAGTTTTGGGGTGTTAGAGCTGGTTTTGGGGTGTTAGAGATGGTTTTGGGGTGTTAGAGCTGAGTTTTGGGGTGTTAGATCTGGTTTTGAAATGTTGCAGCTGGTTTTTGGGGAGTTACAGCTGGTTTCAGATCTGGTTTAGGGTTTTAAATCTGGGTTTCAGCTCTGGGGTTAGGGTTTCAGGTCCGGGGCTCAGATTTGGGTTTTAGGGTTTCAGGTCTGGGTTTCAGGGTTTCAGTGGGATGGAAAGCAGGGAATTGGATTGTCTGTGGGACAGGGCCACGGAATTGTCTGTGGGACAGGGCCACGGAATTGTCTGTGGGACAGGGCCACGGAATTGTCTGTGGGACAGGGCCACGGAATTGTCTGTGGGGCAGGGACACGGGACTGCTGCTGCCACCCTGGGCTGGGTGAAGGTGACAAATCCCCGGAATTGTCTGTGGGGCAGGGACACGGGACTGCTGCTGCCACCCTGGGCTGGGTGAAGGTGACAAATCCCCTCAGCCCAGCTCCCTGGGGAGCCCAGGAGGACGAGAGGCAGAGAGTGAACTTCCTGAGGAAAAGGAGAGGAAAAACTCCAACAAAAAGGGGCAGGAGAGGAGAGAGGAGAGAGAGGAGAGGAGAGGAGAGGAGAGGAGAGGAGAGGAGAGGAAGGAAAAGGAAGCAGAGGAGAGGAGAGGAAGGAAAAGGAAGCAGAGGAGAGGAAGAAGAGGAGAGAGAGGAAGGAGAGGAAGAAGAGGAAAGGGAAGCAGAGGAGAGGGAAGCAGAGGAGAGGAAGAAAAGGAGAGGGAAGCAGAGGACAGGAAGAAAAGGAGAGGAAAGCAGAGGAAGAAGAGGAGAGGGAAGCGGAGGAAAAGGAAGCGGAGGAGAGGAAGAAGAGGAGCAGAAGAAAAGGTGAGGAAGAAGAGAAGAGGGAAGCAGAGGAAGCAGAGGAGAGGGAGCAGAGGAGAGGAAGAAGAGGAGAGGGAGCCGAGGAAGCAGAGGAGAGGGAGATGTGGCAGAGCCAGGACAGCTGCTCGCCCTGCCGGGCTGTGGGGAGCCTGCTGTGTGTCCGTGTGTCCTGAGCTGTCTGTGTGTCACCGCGTGCCCCGCACGGAGCCCGTCCCCCCTCTGTCACCCATTTCTGTCCCAAAATGGGTGTCCTGGCGCTCCCAGCAGGGTCCCTGCACTCACTCCGGGGAGGTTTTTCACTCCTGAAACACCTGGGGTGCTCTTTGCCCTGATCGTTCATCCTTTTTTTCTTTTTTCTTTTTTTTTCTTTTTTTTTTTCCCTGCACCCAAACCACTTCTGCGTGCATCAGGCAGGGACAGGCACAGCCCAGACTCCAAGAGAGAGAGAGAGATTAAACTCTGCTCTGAGTCTAACCACAGAATCATCTCTACTGTGGTTGAAAAGCAATAATGGCTAATTTTATTTTTTTTAAA